TTTTTCCTTGCTTCCAATTTTAATGAGACTGCACCCTTAGGCAGATATTCTTGGCAGATATTTGTTGTAGATATCCTTTACCAAATTTAAGGAGAGTCTCTTTGATTCCAAGTTTATAAAGAGTTCCTTCCTAATCACAAAAAAGGTATTGACTATGATGACATGCCTTTCGGTTACTGACTTGAGAGATGTTCATGTAGTGTTTCTCCTTCCATCTGCCAAAAGGAACTGCACTGACTTTGTACAAATTACTGCTCCGTTCCTGGGATAATTGTTATTCTTTTAAAATATAGATAGCGCTGGACGCAGTTGCCAGGATTTTCTTAAGGATTTCTGCAAATGTAGCCACAATTGAAATGAACTTTCATTTTCTGTTACCTAATCATTTTTGTCTGCTTTTAGAACCAAGATCTACAAACAGCAGACAACAGGACAAGAAAAGTTCTCTCGTACTTTTCTTAGAAACTGTAAAACTTGTGTATGACTAGAATTCTAAGTTCCTTAAATGCTTTGTAGAATCTGTGCCTGTAAAACTAGGTGCGAGTGTGTGGAAGTTACTTCTTTACTGGATACAGGCCTACTGAAGTTTTCTGTTTGTTTTTTATTAGTTTGGAGACATTTTTCTAGTCAATAACCTACTTTGTTTAAGTTTCCTAATCTTCTTCCTACAGAACACCGTTCACTGTACTCAATTTCTAAAACCTCTACTGTACAGGGGCAGTGGCATCTTTATCATTTCCACTGTACTTCCATCTTCTTTTTTCTTTTTCTTTCTTGCTGGATTTGAGTCTTTTCAAACATTCATCATTCTCCTGATTTTATTGTAATTTTGTTTTCTATTTCATTTCTTTCTCCTGTTTTACATTCTTTTAGTTGATACTATTAGACTTTTTCTAACTTTTTCAGACACTCAGCTCATTAATTTTTAGTCTTTATAACCTTTGACAGCTATAAATTTCCTTTAATCACTGCTTTCTCTTTATCCTTCAAGTTTTGTATTATAATATTCTCATTATTTAAGCAGTTCTAATCATTTTCTAATTTCCATTAGAATTCTTCTCTGATGCATGAGTTACTTGTCAATGTCTTCAAATTTTCAAAACCATGATTTTCTTTTACTTTTATGAATTTCCACTTGGATTACATATGGTCAAAGAATATGGCCTGTGTTTGTACAGATTCCCTTTGTTGCCTAAAAAAAAAGGTCCAATTTTTAAATGTTACTTGAGTGTCCACTGCATCAACCTGGACGCTACGTTTCAGTCTCCCATCAGCCTACCCAGTATTGTCTGCTTGACCCATCAACCACTAGAATGAATGTGCTGCTGTCTCCCACTGGCAAGTGCACGTGAGTATCCTCAGCATCACTCTTTTTTTGTAGTAGATGTAATAATCTATTATGTAACGTTTGCCAATTCAATAGTGATGGTAAAATCACGTGGACTAAGGGCAGGGTTGCACCGCCGACTGTTGAATTGCTGTAAGTTGTACACTTGTAAAAAGTTGAAAAATTATCGACTTGTGTGGTAGTTATATTTGTGTGGCAACTTGGCTAGGCCTGGTTGAGTGGCTGGGCAGCTGATGGTAGTTATTCCCATGATGAGACTGGCAATCAATTCCATGGTGGGATCTACCACAGGCAGTTGAGGAGTTGCCTTTGGGATGTGGTCTGCTTCCTGCATTTTAGGAGAAGCCTTGGGAATGGCCTCTAGCCTATGGCACGCTTGGACCCTGGATGTAGCCGTGTCATTGCTCAGCAGCCTGCTATGCTCTGCCGACCTTGGAACTTACAATGGACTTAAGTTAATGGTCTGCCGTGTGGTTTGGTACCATCCGGACTGTGTCTTTTTACTTGTCAACCTTGGGGCTTCTCAACCTCAGCTGCCAGCAGCTGTCTGAGTAAAGAAACGCCTCTAGCTCCAGTGGGCTGGGAGCAGAAGGCAGAGCAGGACCCCAAGGTTGAGGGGCTTTCACCCAGCCCCTAGAGCCTGGCACTTTGAACTTGGACTTAAAGCCTCCAAATTGTAAGAATAAACTCCTGTTTGTGAAGGCCATCCCATTTGTGGTGCATTCCTGTCAGAGTGTCACAGCGGCACTAGGGAACCAGAACTTGTTTACATCACCCTTGATCAGGTGTGTGCTCTGCAAAGAGTACCTCCTTGTCTGTGGCTTATCTTTTCTTGCTCTTACCGTTGCTCTTCCAGTAACAGAAGTCTGGCATTTTGATGAAGTTCAGCTTATCACTTTGTTCATTATGCTTTCTGTGTCACATCTACGAAATCTTTGCCTAACTCCAGGTCATAAAGGTTTCCTTCTACAAATGTTAAGGTTTTAGGTCCAGTTTTTACTTCTCATTCCTTCCTCTGATGCTCCATTTTCTTCCTAAAGTAAACCTTCTTGGGTAGTTCCTTCAACCAGAGCCTGTGAGCAGTAAACTCCTTGTCTAGAAGGGTCTTCACTGATAGTTTAGCTAACCAGCTAACTCACAGCTTTGCTGAAATTCACAAGCATCTCTCAGTACTCTGACTATATTGTTCTCTTGTCTTCTGGCTTTTATAGCTACTATGCAGAAATCTGGGGGTCATCTAATGGTAATTCTTGTGATAATTTTTCTTTTTTTCCTGAGTGCATTTAGAACAGTGTTCTTTCACTGTATTATGTCTAGTAAGTGTGGGTCTAAATTTATCCATCCAACTAAGGGCTCATGCTTCCCGAATCTTTAAGATTCACGTCTTTCACAAAGCTGAGCCACCATTTCCAGAGTCCGTCCTGATGTCTTTCTGTTCTTATCTGAGAACTCCTTTCAGGCATACAGTGAACCTGCTTATTCCATTCCTCATGCCTCTCAGCCTTTCTTTTTTATTTTCCACATCTTTCTTTCCTTGCTTTCCAGAGCTCACTAATCCGCCCTTCAGGTAGGTTTCATCTACTTTTTACTTCATTCATAGATTCTTTTTTTTTAATCAACATTAACTATAGGGGCATGGTGAGGTTTTACTTGAAGTGTCCTCTTGCTGCTTCCTCAATTAGTATCAGCATGTTCATCACTGTTGCTGTTTCTGGTGACAACTGCTTCCTTGAAACTTTCTATTTTTCCCTTATTCTATATAGTTTGAATTTCTTCAATTTTATTATAAAAAATTTCAAACACACAGAAAATCTGAAGAGATGGTACCATGAACTCCAAATTCTCTCTACTTAGATTCCAAAATTGCTCTTATTTTTCTATATTTGCTTTCTCTTGCTCTCTGGCTTTCAGTCTCCATATTGCTTTCTGTCATCCTATTTGCCAGTACGGTCAACATGAATCGACTGTGACAGAGGCAGAACAGGAGCCACTCTTGGTGGCAGGTTCTGAGGAGGACAGGGCACAGGAGAACACTCTCAAGGGCCAGATGTGCATGCTTCACTGTAAGTTACAGGTCCAAAACAGGGAAAGAACCAGTCACAGGCCTCATGACACTTCACCCCTCAATCCTGGAGCAGGCATCTCCTAAGAATAAGGACATTTCTTCCACATAATCACATTACCATCATCACATTCAAGGGAAGTAGCAAGAATGCTGTCATTGCATCTAATATTCCAGCTGTTTCACATTTTTCCAAGTCCCAAGAATGCCACTGATAGCTCTTGCCCGTCTCTCTCAGATCTGAGTTCCAATTACCTTTCTGGGGCAATATCTGGAAAGGATATTGCATAGAAATTCCCTATTTTAAAACAGGAAAAATAATTCTATTCTACTCAACAGAAGAAAGAGAAGGAGGGAAAATGGATTTATTTGATAGATGCATTAAATTAACTCCTTGCAATCCTTCAGCATGGACAATCAGGAGCCCATTTCATCACAACCAGCTCCAACTGCTCGTGGAAGAACAGGCAGGAGGAACATCAGGATGCCCACCTCTGAGCAGAAACAACAACTTATCCAGAATTCCTCAGGAATCTACAGGCCTACACTTGGCAACTTCATTATTTTCCAGTCTCCTCTCTAATACAGCAATTCATAACTTTGGGGAGTAGAATGCCTTTATGATAAATTTTATTTTTAAGTCCAAAATGGTACTTCTGGAACCTGACTAGTGGCAATTACATTTTAACTTCTGTTATCTGGGGGGAGAGCCTCAAAAACTACTTTGACTCCAGTTGTGCTTGTAAATGAATTTTTAAATTGCTGTCAAAAGCAACCAGATACATTTAAAAAGTAGTGGTATATAATGACACATCATTTATTAAGTCAACTGACAATACTTGTTGTACCTAAAGATCATAGACCATCCATGATAATCCTTCAGATATTCCCACTTCAAGTGGTATTTTCAGGGTATATTCTTTTTAGTGATGGAATTAATGACCAACCACCAAAAGGTATGCAGACAGAGGGAAAAAAAATACCAAGCACATAGAAAATTCATCATTTGATAATAAATCAGAACAGGGATTTCTTAAGGCTGCAGAATGAACGTGACCTGATATCCCAAACCCAAGCCCACACCCATTGCTGTAAAGTTGGTTCTGACTTAGTGACACTATAGGGCAGAGCCAACTGCTCCATAGGGTTTCCAAGGCTGTCAATCTTCACAGAAGCTGACTGACTCATCTTGCTCCTATGGAGCAGCTGGTGGGTTCAATTCACCCATCTTCTGATTAGCAGTCAAATGCCTTAACCACTACATGCCATGAGCACTCCTATCTAAGGCACTGCAGACGATAAACAAGCTCAACTCTTGAAACTGATTCTGAATCAATACTTAGATTTGATGATGATTCAAGCTTGGTTCACAGGTTCAAATGTCAAATCTGACACCAAAAACAGTAATTGTGTTCCAGGAACACAGATGCAGGCATCAATGAACTGTCTTTTCCACTCCTGTTTGAAATGAATGCATCTATTTGCATAACTTCTGATTGTACGTGATAACATATCTTATTTTCAATGACAGCACTTTCTGAAAAAAAAAAAAAGACACAACCAGCAAAGTGGTATGAAAAGTTGACTCACCACTGTTCTCTGTTTGTTGGGCAGGAAGACTCTAACGATAGGTTTTTGTGGTGACTTGGGGTTGCTCCGTGACACATCTGTGGGATTTTGAAAAACTGTAAGAGATGAAGGTAGCACTGAAAGGCTAGAAGAGGAGGAAGATGTAACGGTGTCCGTTGATGCCGAGCTAGAAACAGAAAAATCAGTTCCATTCCCCAGGGACTCCAATAACTGCTGTTCTCTTTGTTGGAGGGCATCTAGCTTGCTGGTGTATTCTTCATAGGCCTATAAAATAAAGTAAACTTACATTGAATCTGGAGTTTGTCCTGACAGTAACAAAAGGAAATACGAAACATTAAGTCTTTGATTAAAACCTCTTTATAATCTAGCTAACAGAGTCTTAAGTTATAAGTTACAAGTTACAAAATAACTGCAGGAGATACTATCTATGAATACTTTACCTTTTAATTAGTAAATCTTTTGTTATACCACATTACATCGAGATGCTGACATGTATATATATATACATGTATATATATATACATACACATACACACACACAAACACATCAGTGATATTTAAATTGCCTATAAATAGTAATAAAAATGCACACTATTTCCAATTTTCTAGTAAATCGCAATTTACCTACCAT